TTTCTTTTGGCTACTGCTGTAGCGACTGCGCAGCTTTATCCTTCTTGAGGACAAGCAGTTTCGTTATGAGGTGATTTTTTTTGCAATGTTTACATTCACATTTCTTGGCGATTGGTGTCGGGGATAGTGGGGGATTGAATATAATTGTGCGAGCCACTTGATGTGCTGTCTAGCTGAGAACCCTAACTAATGATGTGCCTTAGTTCCTGAAAACGTTTATCAAAATCTTCACCACCTATAGGAAAAGAACCACTTTGTTTTCTTCCCTGGTATGTTCATAGTCTGACTTTCAGCCGTTTTATGTTTCTCTGTCTTAGGTTGTTGCAATTAAACTAGTTTTGTATAGTGAAGATTTAATTACTCACGTTTGAGGGCGGGCGCGGGTACAGCGCACCATCAAAACATACGACTATTACCTGGTTTATCTGTTGAAAACTATTAAAAAATTTAACTTTCCACTAAGTTTGACAATTTTAGAAATTTTTGACTGATTTCTATACCCAAATAGTTCTCGAACGAAAAGAAACACGCTTTTCAGCAAGCACATCTCAATTCGAATACTTTCAACTGGAATAAAAAATATCTCAACTTGGTGATCTTCGCAAACACGATAGAATATTTCTCCTTGTGCCAAAAAAACCAATTTTTTTCCTGAAATTCGAATACGGAGAGGACTTTAAATGAAAATAACATTTTAGACTGGCTATTACTCTTTTTTTGACCAGTAGAGCAAAATCTCCTACACAAGTATGTCAAGTTCTCTAGTTTTCAAGTCATTTACTTGCCGAAAACTACTGAGAGCAGCCAAGAAACTGACATTGTTTATTAGGCAGGGCAAATGAAGTTTTATTCTTGGCCAGTAATAAAATGTTTTCCCATTTTCAGTCATTAAGATGAGTCTTGGTAATTCCATGGAATGGGCCAATATAAGAAAGATCGCAATAAACATCATATAATTCATAAAACAATTTCTTGAATTATTAAGCTAACACAATGGTGGTGACAAGTTTTCTTTTGCTAACGTCTCGGCGTTTTCATTTTCTTCAGAGCCGGATTAATTCGAGACGATTGTCCGCGTCTGGTTATCTTCGCGATGAGGATGTTCGTTTTTGCACCGAGTCGAATCCGATAAGCGGAGCAGCGCTCGAATGAAAAAGTTAGACCGTGTTCCAGCTAGTGTAACGTCGACATCAGTAATATGCAATAGCAGCATGAAGCAGCTCACCAAATCATATCAAATGGAGGCAAGTCAACCATCCTATACAAAGAGCACCGCCAAAGTGTGGTTTCTTCATTCGAGCATTCAGTAGATTCGACTCGATGCGACAACGAAGACCTAATATCGCGAAGACGACCGAGTATAGAAAACGGGCTCGAGTCAGTCCGGTTCTAAAGAAGACGAAAGCATGGAAGCGATAGCCGAAAAACATCTTACGAATCTCGTGTTAGTAACTCCCACGTCCTACTTTCTATTAACTTCGGCATTGATTGAATAATTCCTTCTACTTCTGCTCAGCAAGTACGAGGAGTTATTTTATTTCCTTATTTACGTACAAGCTGGCGTTTCGGTGGATTTCGCCTTCTTCAGGGCCTGGGAAGGTGAACTTGACTACAATCTACACAGCCAAACACCTCCATAACCAAGCAGAGAAAACAATAAACCAAGATTTCAATCACATTTAACACAGCTCTGCGCACTCATCGCTTTCTATGAGCCTTCCACTGAGTTTGTCGCGTGGAGACCAACCACACAGAGTTCACAAGGAATCATATTGTGCCCACCTCATCAAAATGACAGGTTTATATACCGCCCAATATCGAACGTGATAATGAGGCGTTCCTCCCTGCGGTTCATTTTCGGATTCTTGGAATTAATCCAAAATGCCTCTAGACGTTTGCGCGCTTGTGTTCTCGATTTTTGCGCGAAGATCGTAACCCCCATTTTTAATGGCTACGAAGCTGTAGCTCGAGCTAGGTGTAGAGGAAACCACAGGTGCCCCAACGATAACTGTAGCGGCAATAAAGCCTCGTTTATATTGCCCTTCATTTCAAAAGAAGTAAGTGCAGCTATAAAACGCTGTTTAAGAAGGACCGATCTAGATAATTCGGTAACGATAATTGAAATCCCACCGAGTAATCTAAGACGCCAGCTAGTTCGTAATAGTCTATACGACCGTCTATGTGCAACGCAAAATTGCATAATTTGCCCCAATGGTAGAAACGGTGACTACATGAGTTCGGGTACAGTCTATCTGATCTCTTGTGAAGCGTGCGAGGAAGAATAAGTTGGCGAAACGGGTAGACCACTCTGCGTGCATATAAAAGAACACCTAGTCGGCAAACGTCAACCAAATACTCCACTAGGCGCGCATAGGAAGCAGAGACATAACGGAGAAGATTTTGAAGCACGGGTCACGATCCTCGCGCAGAAATCGAGAACACAAGCGCGCAAAACTCTAGAGGCATTTTAGATTAATCCCAAGAATCCGAAAATGAACCGCAGGAAGGGACACCTCATTATCACGCGTGATATTGGGCAATATATAAGCCTGTTATTCTGATGGGAGGGGCACATTACGCTTCCATGTGAATTCTGTGCGGTTGGTCTCCACGCGACATACTCAGTTGAAGACATAGAAAGCGGTGAGTGTGCAAAGCTGTGTTCGATGTGATTGAAATCTTGGTTTAGTGTTTTCTCTGTTTGGTTATGGTGTTTGGCAGTGTAGATTACAGTCAACTTGACCTTTTCAGGCTCTGAGGGAGGCGAAATCCGCCGAAACGTCAACTTGCACGTAAATAAAGAAATAAAATAACACCTCTTGTATTAGTTTTAAAATCCAAGAAGCCGTTGATTGTTAATATCGAGAGGAAGAGTGTTGCGCAGTGGTAGTTATGCCGACCACGACGAGTACTACTCTGGTTCGGTCCCGCGGAGGGCTCACTAGGTATGTCATCTCTCCGGGGTCAGAAAATTGGTACCAGACTTGTCTGGGAAAAGTTCACGCCCTGAAATGCAATTATAGACGCTTTAGCTCGGCTATCGTGGAACTCCAGGAAAAAGCAACTCAACCAGCTTCAACACGATATTCATGACGAAAGCGAAATCCTCAAGCGAAATTCTACGAAAGGCCAATAACATATGTAATTTACGAGTGATGCTTTACACAAAAACCCCTATAAATGGAAATTTTCAAGGAAAAAATGCAAGAAAAATTCCATAGAAAACGATTTTTTGTAATTTTTCACCACCCGTCTTTCACGCCCGCTGTACGATTCCAGCACGTCTACATCCGATACGTTTTTTCGCTTCCATTATCCACGAAGGTCATCCAACTTTCTGCTTGTGAGTTCGGCTGCCATTGAAGATTTCCCTTTCGTCATGAGTGTCGCCGAATGCTGGTTGAGTGAATTCGTCCTGGAGCTCTGAGATAGCCCCACTGGAGTATTCTCACTTAATCTGCCAATAATGAGGCTTTCTAGAACAAGTCTGGTACCATTTTCCGCTCTTGGAGGGATGAGAGGCTTGTCGAGCCCAAGGCATGGTCGAACTAGCGCCGTACTCGTGATGATGTAGTTTTTATAATCAGATAACCATGCAGTTTTAGTTCTTCATTTTCACACGGCCGGTTCCCCATGAGGTGGGCCCACGTCCTACTTATGCGTAATCCAATTCTTTTCCCAGTTTCGTTGAGTTCATTGAGCATCGTCCCTGCTACACTAGTGCTCCTCGAAAACAAGAACGCTGTCATCCGCGAACGAATATTTCATGGAAATTTTCCATTAGTACCTGTGCCTCCCAGAGAAGTTTGGTACCGCCGATCCCGGAGGATGGAGAGCTTGGTGTGCCATGGACGCGGAAAACGCGACGAACGACGACGTCCGACCGACCGACCGACCGTGGACGCTTGGTGTTCCCCCTTACCTGAATCACTACCTTTGAGCTATTCCTAACCATTGCAAAAGCATAAAGCTTGTTTCTTCATCACATTACCAATAAAGCTGCATCAAAGATAACAACCGCGAATTCGGCGACTTTTGAAGAACCATTATTTGCTATAATACAATAAACACCGCGATAGTCCTTTAACACTCTCGTGTCACACCTATAGGTTTCATAATGGGTTTACGGGACTGGCTTGTGGAACACCTGTAGGCCTCACTTTCTTTTCTTTGGTTTGTTCTGCACATAAAACCACTTTGCTTTACTTTGTTATCGGCTGATGGCTTGTAGAACACCGTTGTTGTGTTGGGCGCTGGTCACGAGAAGCTTTGATCTACACTTAGAAATATACAAAGAATTTATACACTTCAACACTATGCAAATGCTATACATATAAATTTACTGTACATATACAAAAGTACTTCAATTCCAATTGCTATAGAGGACGACAGCTATCCTATGCAGTGTGCAAGTGTAAAATATGAGGCCTACATTTTGCAGAACACCGCCAAATGCCCACACAAGCGTGTTTGCTTCATGGACCACAGTGACATATTTCAAATACCATCATAAATATCATTGATACCAATAGAACAAGGGTCCAAAGATTTTTCCCAAACCATCCATGTTGAAGACAACCGAAGTCCTCTAGTTATCGAGAAATTACTGTTTAATTTCGTAAAACCATCAAGTCCATACAGGCTGAAAATTAGGCGTTCTCCGGTCCGCAACAAATCCGAGACCAGGCGTCATCGCGAGAGAGTAAAACATCGTGCTTGTTAGAGGATTTCTTCGATACAAATGTTCCACATAAGATGAACAAGATGTATGTAGCATCATTCCATTCAAAGAAATTAGCTGTATATTAGCGAATATAAACGGACAAATATTATTATCAATGCATTTATTTTTAAAGCTAAATCTTGAATGACTGAATGAGGAGGACTCGTAAAAAACCGCGTAGAACAGTGATATGCATGTCGAAGGTTACGTAACGCCAAAGCACAAAACCTACAAGCCTGGTTTACTTCAATAACGTTTTAGTAAGAATATAAGGATGTCATCCAATATCCAGTTTATCTCGAACGGCGGTTTCTGCTACTTTATTACTCTCGGCTGGAAGACAATCCTTATGGCCACCGTCCCGAACGGAAGGCCTACTTGTTAAGGCATCTTGGCCTTCATCACCAGTTTCTCGAACGATTTCATCAGAAATTTCAGTGGTTGGAAGCTCCTTTACTCTGACACCAACAGCTGCAAGAACCTCTGTCAGTTTTCGAGAGTAGTCCAGATGACCCTTGACCTAAAACCATAATCTTATTAGCGGCACATTCATCCATATCTGCTTGCTAAAACTCCACCAGAAAAGTTAACTCATATCTGCTGCTTTCTACCCCACTCAGTATTTGACCGCTTAGATCACCACTACTTCCACAGCTTTCTATTTTTCTATGCGCGTCATACTACAAGAGCACTTTGACGCTTGGATACTTGGATAGCCCGTGTTCACTAGTAGTGTGTCTTCAAGTATTAATCCCATTTTCTCGAAGTTTTTCTGGTTTAACCACTGCGGTTCTCTTGAGTGACGAGGTCAGGCTAGTTAAGATCTGCCCCAGATCATCACCACCCCAAGCGGTCGCCGCTCTTGTGGATCAGACAGAGATTTCCACCATGCCACTGGTTTGATGCCAAGACGCTTGTGGATCCTGGTATTGGTATACTCTTAGTTTAGCTTCTTCATGGAAAGCCGCAGTCTTCAGATTGGGCGACCCTGCTGGGTGGATGAACTCCTTCCTCCCCTACCCCCCTGTACGTCGCAACGCGACATCCAGGAACACACCCAACTCACGATGAGGCGGCAAATCGTTGGGAGGACTATAAGAGTAATTAACCATAAACTATAGCAAATTAGGAAAACATACAATGTGGCTTAGATTGTAGTTAAATATTTTTTTCTTTTTGCTTTTGTCGTCCACGGGACCAGTACCGGCAATCGTGAATTGTACACACATTGTCCTGTAGAGAAACCTGGAAATTACTCAGTACAATATAACGGCTGACGATGCATTAGTTTCAGTGTATATGCTACTTAAATATGTTAATGAATATATATGAGACTAGGAGCACATTTTGCGCAGTGGTTGGAGGCGCCACTGCGATACACACGAATCGATCCCCGCGCTCATGGCCCACCAAACCCTCTATCCCTCCGGGGTCGGCAAATTGGTAACAGACGTCTGGGAGGATATCAGCACTGGCTTAATACGTCGGTAGGCCACCGTGAGTCATTGTAAAGGCCAAATATGCATTCCATGCCCTCCAAACGATGCTTGATGAAGTTGAGTGCATGGCGCATCCCTCAGGGATTGATCAACGCCGAGATCTTCATCCTTTTATCCTCTATGACGAAATCGCAATAAAGACGGATATAGGTATCGCTGCATAACCTGGTACTGTCAATTAAGTTCAAGAAAACAGCCGATGAACAAGACGACGCAATCCTATCTACCTATCGTTACTCATACGGGAACAGCACTCCTGCTGGTGACTAATAAGCAGATGCAAAGTAGAAGTGAAAAATGGGAGGCTCAATTAAACACTAATAGCGCAATATATGGACTATTGGTCAGAATATCCTCACAAACTTCACGCCAAGAAAATATACGGATAAAAGCGTTACATACATTGAAGATAACAAGTGTCCAATGTCCATACAGAGTATAATAAGAAAATAAGTAATTGGATAGTTTTTTCTACTTCTGTTCAGCAAACACGAGGTGCTATTTTATTTCTTTATTTACGTACAAGCTGACGTTTCAACGGATTTCGCCTTCCTCAGAGCCTGGAAAGATCAAGTTGACTGCAATCCACACTGCCAAACACCTTCATAACCAAACAGAGGAAACGCTAAACCAAGATTTTAATCACATTTAACATAGCTCTGCACACTCACCGCTTTCTATGAGTCTTCCACTGAGTATGTCGCGTGAAGACCGACCTCACAGAATTCACATGGAAGCGTAATGTCGTAATGTGACCTTCCCTAATGACAGGTTTATATACTGACCAATATCACGCGTGATAATGAGGCATTCTTTCCTGCGGTTCATTTTCGGATTCTTGGAATTAATTCAGAATGCCTCTAGAGTTTTGCGCGCTTGTGTTCTCCATTCTTGCGCGAGGATCGCAACCCTTACTTGAAAATCCTCTCCGTTATGTTTCTGCGTCCTATGCGTGCTTAGTGGAGTATTTGGCTTACGTGAGTGCGCAGAGCTGTGTTAAATGTGATTGAAATCTTGGTTTAGCGTTTTCTCTGTTTAGTTATAGAGGTGTTTGGCCGAATAGATTGCTGTCAACGTGACCTTTCCAGGCTTTGAGGAAGACGAAATCCGCTGAAACGTCAGTTTGTACGTAAATAAAGAAATAGAATAGCATCTCGTGTTTGCTGATTACAGAAGTAGAAAGAATTATTCAATCAATGCCGAGGTTAATAGAAAGTCGGACTTGGGAGTTAATTGAATGGTTTTCTGAAAAAACCATGTTCATGAATGAAAAACAATTTTCTTTTGTAATTATCGTGATTCCGTTTATCGAACATTCAATGCCTCGTAAAAGGATAAAGGATAAAGCTCTCGACGTTGATCAATCCCTGACAGATGCGCCATGCATTCGACTTCATTGAGCATCCTCTGGTGGCGATTGAATGCATATCTGGCCTTTACAATGACTCGCGGTGGCCTGCCGATGTATTGAGACAGTGCTGCTATCCTCCCAGACAAGTATGATACCAATTTGCCGACCCCGGAGAGATGGAAGGCTTGGTGGGCCATGGGCGCGAGGATCGATTCCACGTGTCGCAGTGGTGCCTCCAACCACTGTGCCACACGCGCCCTTCAATATCTGATACATGAAAGTAATAACTGTAGACTCTATCGCATACCGCAACAGCCAGTCCGTCTCACAGTACCCGTTGATTATACGACCGCCAACGACAGAACACAATTGTGACCACTGTTTCGGTGAAGCGGACACTGGCGCACCCAGAAGAATTACATCCTCGATTATACCTGATGAAAGCCAAACAAGATCCACACGCAGAATATAACACTATGATGAATAACACTTCCAAGAAACCAGGAATATTGGGAAATACCTGATTTTAGGTGATCGCACTTATTACAAACGCTTTCACATACACGTTAAAATCCACCTGCCGATTCCGCTCTTTTGTTCATCGCAAGAAGACAATGATAAATTACTCGTGCACCAAGAGAGAACCCAATAAGCGAGATTGGTCGTTTGCCATGCGATCGACCGAGAAGAACCTCTGCTAGATGTTCTCCAACCTGAGAAATCCGATTAGAACAGTATTCAGAGCGTCGTCATTGTGGTAAGTTCCTTGCCTCTGCCGCTCTGGCAACGCAGACACTCCATGGATTATCAAGAACTGAGGCCGCAGAGAGGATGGTCACTGGCCAAGCAACAGCAGCTAGTAAGCCTGCAATGCTCAGAGTGTTGTTTATTGCTTCGTAATGTCACCAAATATTCTCAACACTATAATGGTGCTGAGATATTTGCAAAACTCCGCACCGCAGGTGTGTGCGGTAGGGATGGAACGCTGTGTTACCCCTTCCGAGGTGTCGTCTTTCCCTCACTTATTGTTCCAATTACCAGTGCCATCAACAATCACCCATCAACGTGGCTGATTTGGGGAGCCCAAATCGGCATTGAAACCGGTTAAGCTGAGGGCTTAGTTGAAATCAAATCACAGTGTTAACTTCTTATTTGCTCCCTATTCCAAGTTTTCACGGCATGGCGTGGGATACACTCTTGCTGAGCGAAAGGCGAAACGAAGGATCCACATGGTGTGGCGGTGAATGCGTTAGTTCCTAGAAAGCTTAATATCGTGTTCAGTCCCACCGCACATACCTGCGGTCCAGAGTTTTGCAAATATTCCAGCATCATTACCATTGGATTTCACATTATGCACTTTCGTGAAAAACTGTAGCAGGCAGCAAATAAAAAGTTAGCATTCACAACACTCATCTAAACTCATGAATCTTTTTAATTTGGAAAGCAATGAAATCCCTTATGCTGGTAAACTTACTGTCTTTTCACAGAAATATATTATTCCAAAGGCTGTTACGATGATCGCAAGTACCAAACATAAGTAGTGTAAATGCGAGCATGGTGTTATACCAACGCAATCAATCAATCAATGACAAATTAATCACCTGCAAGTGCGGTTTCCATCAGTGTTTGTTGTATGGCGACAGAAACAGCGAAACTCATGATGTAATCCATCGCTTTCCCTAACTCTTTGAGGTATTTGCTCTCGTACCGTAGTGTATACTGCTCCCTGGACATGTTGAGCTGTTTCCATTGACGTTCAAAAGCCTCATCACATGGCTGAAAAAGATTGTGTAACGCCATTCAACATTTCAGACATGATTTATAAGAAATTAAAGTCCTTACCGTATCTTCTTCAATCCAACCAGAAACGACTAAAGTACAATGAAGGCTAAGTCCATCAGAAAGAGCTTCCACTGCAAATTCTTCTATCGCACCAACTCTTTTATTCATCTGTAATTGAAGAACGACATTTTATAAAAAGATAACAGCATAGAATGCCATATCGTGCGTACTTTATAGCCGGCCAGTCCTGCACCAGCCATTCCAAACGTTGTGCCGAGGACGGCCGCACCCGCAGTGGTAGCCAATCCCGCCGCACCTGAGCCGATCAGCACGCCAGCACCAGCAGCCACCAGTGGAGCTGCCAGCCCTCCTGTCAAGCCTAAACTAGCATCTTAGAATTTGATAAAGTAGTACTGGAGGTATCGAGACTAGTATTACTTTTATGTGAAATTTTTTTACGCTTCGGCATTCTCTGTTGTTGTTTACAGTAATTATACAAATCGATCGAATTTTCTGGTGAGACAGATTACAACAAGTCAAATATTTAGAGTTATTGAATTTCTGCTTCCCCACTTTGCCATCTTACACTTTGTGATAAGCAAAAGAAAATTGCTACCATACTGCCACTCACCACCATCGGCTGGTAACGTACGGAAGCTCCAAGAAGCCAATGCAAGGATAAGGGCGGCACAAGGACAGAGATAGATAGTCGGAAACTGTGGATCAGTACAACGTAACAGAAATGGAGATCGACTTGAGCGAGTAACCCTTGTGGCTCTTGTCTTCGATGGAAATTCGTTCTTCCATGATAAAAATTGTCACATCGTGACGTGGTAAATCCCAAACGGTACGGGGATCACTTGGAAATTGATCACATCCTTATGAACATTAAGACGCAATCTGTTCGGCGGGAACGCCTTTTCGTCGGTTATAAACTCTAAGAGTTCGTTGAGCAAGATCGCTTGATTGTTCGTGGAGCAAGATTATAAAGCCTCTAAAAGTGAAAAAACAAGATGCTCGAGACAATACTTTTCTAATATCCTGAACGAAAGGCCTTCAACGCCATTTGCAGAAAAGTAGTACAGAATTTTAATCGATACCTATAGAAGAGGATTCTTAGAGCACCACAAAAAAAACAGCATGGAGAGATATCGTCGAGATCTTCACGAGTACAACATTCGCCTTTCTTGTTTCGAATGCTATGATTTTCCACCGCGAAACGGAATCACTAACAGCATTCTTTACAAATTGCCACCAATCCATAATGTTTGTGACAAGCTGTACTATACCCATTGAAAATACACCGTCAAAGATTCCTTTCTCAGAAGCTTGGGCTGCAATTAGAAGCTTGAAGCGCGCTAGAACTTCGCGGTCGGATAATATTTCGACTGAGCTGACTGTCATAACTTTAACGATAGTCTTGCAGAAAACGTGACATTACATTTGCAACGAAACCGGTACACAATCAGTGCTGTATTCTGTGCACATTGGCTTCGCATAAGAAAGGCAGAAAAGGAGACTTATCATCCAAGTAATTTATTGAATCCTCTCTGTAGCTTTTAACGAAGCTCACGAAAGATATATGCGGATGGACTTTGTGCAAACTCATACGGAAGTCGTAAGGGACCGTAAGGAATAGTACCTTCCTCTTGTCCTAACATTCGCTGACTAAGAGAAAGCATTTGACACTGTGTACCAACCACGAATGTCATTCTCTCTGCATTGGTTTTCTAAGATATAGATGCGTTCTACATAAAAGCGTACCTTGGCTGCAACAGGTACTTTACAAAAACAGTATAGGTTGTTTTAGCAAGCGCTCACTATTCTAGGAGATGCTCAATGAACTGAATAAAGAGTTCGAAGAAGAATCCGGTAGAAAAAGGCGAGTAGCGCAGCTGGTATTCTTTTCTCTACAAGCGACCAATGATCACCTTACTGGACTCGACCTATGTGCTCACTTTTTGACATAACGGTTCTCCCATACCTGTGATATGCAGCGGAAAGACGGCATGATACTGCTGTCACATCGAACAGCTTACGAATAGTATACATGGCACTCGATAGATACCTTGTGAAGATGAATTGGGGCACTCAACGCCAAGCCGATCTTCGTGCATCAGATCTTTGGAGAATATACCGTCTTCAAAACTGCACGCAATACATCTCAGGAGATAAATTTCGACAGGTCGACAATTTAATGAGATAGGTAGAGGACAGGTGAACGAGAACCTTAGAACGAATCAGACGAAAATCAAAATCATCTCGAGGTTGACTACCGAACAGAAGGGCATCCGCGTTCCTTACACGTGAATAAACCGTATGTTCCTCGCATGTAACTGATGGCACTTGTAACGAAACTAATAGAAGATGATGGGATCTGCAAGACATATGAACAGAGGTCGTCTACCTAAGCATGTAAACGTTAAAACTTCAGGAGTAGGGCAATTTTCCAGGAAAACATCAACTTCCATTCCTGACAAGGAGAACTGAATTCGAACCAGAAATTCACCATCAAATTTTTACCCTTTTTTAAAAAATTTCAGTGCCCTTTGGGATTTGGTTCCTAATTCTCGTGGAAATATTTATATCGCTTTTTAAAACAATTATTCATGGGTGCATACACGTCCATTACTCGAGCTCAATACAGAATTCAGTAGCCGTGTTATAATTCATCCATTTATTTTTGGGCAAAGTAGCGAACGTATAAACAATCCCATGAAACACTCAAAATCATACAGGTCAGCAGTGATTTATCAGCAAGTCATTCAGTTTTTTCCTGGACTAACTTTGTAGTCTCGTTCGATATCAGCCGAACCTTGGATAACGTTAACTGGAAGGTCTTACCTATAAGAACTCCTCCTACCCCTCCAGCAGCACCAACAAGAAGGAATCGCTTGATTTTCTTCTTTCTCTGGGTTTTTTCACGAATCTGCTTCGCTTGTCTAGGCAGTAAATACAATCAGTCGTTCAAGAACTCTTGAAATCTTTCAGATTACATAGATTTTTGATGCATTCAATATTTCTCATAGGTCAATGTTTTCAGAAAGCCACTCTCCACACAACATCGACCACACAACACTTCTCACCTACTTTTGACAACGTAATCTGCAATTAAACAAGTTTTAAGAAATTAATATAAAGCACAAAGGAATGGCAGCAGCTGAAGTGGATAAGAAGAAAAATCCAGTCGTACTTACTCGGACTCCACGTAGACTTCGTCAAGCATCGTACTCGTCAGTGAATCTTCGATCTGAAGCGACTAACAAAATAGAATACGAAATGAAGCCTCGAAAGAGGTCCGATTTTCAGAAAAAGAATGCCTTTGCAGCAAAAATCATTATTTTAAAGATTTCTTACATCTTCGAACTCCTCCCATACTACGGAAAGCAACGTTGCAATGTGTCTTAGCAGCACGCGATACCTTGCATCATAGTTTCCTGAAGAATGCTGCTCTCACAATATCCCACAAAGGATGAAGATGAAGCTCTGCTAGCTACTTAGAAGATCATAAAAATCATTATGAAACAGTGTATGAAACTGAGGTCAGGGATGGCTCTGCTGTTCTTTATGCAATTTCGACAAACTCATGAACAACAAACTTAGGCAATGATTACATTGTATACAAAATATTATTAGTAGAGCTCAAAATTTTCGTAAGAGATATACAGCGTTAGATGAAATAAAAAATTTAGTTCCCAGGATCGACTTTCTCTTAACCTCGGCATTGGAATATGAATGTGTCGTTTTCTTGTTCAGCAATCGCGAGGTTTTTAAACAGCATACATTTACTTCCATAGAAAAACACAATACAATACAACGCTAGCTGACGCTTCGGCAGTATCGCCTTCTTCAGAGCCGCTTTTTCGTGGCTTCCAATGAGGAAGTTTAGAACAGCTGATTATAGTCGCATGTGGTTGACGACTGCACCATCCCACATCAAAAATCGATGCGAACGTACGGGATCAGGTCTCCGGGCATTCGTCCCTGCTATTCATTGTAGGGTTTTTGGCATTGATCCAAAAAGCCTCTAGGAGTTTTCGCGCTGGTGTTTTGGACTCCTGTGCAAGGATATATGCATATGATATGCAATATCATATATGCATAGGAATATGCAAGGATCACACACAAAGAGGGCGATTGTGAGAAACATGTTTCGAACAGCCACCTCTGTGTGCACTACCAGGGAACTAAAGGAAGAATCGCGCGATTTGGCTCGGCAAATAGCCATCTCCAATGGCTACGAAATAGTAACCCCACGAGATAAGTTTACAAGGAGAACGACGCGCCCACGCGAAACACTTGGCCAAAACAAAATCCCGTTTATGTTGCCTTTTATAAGCGATGAAGTAAGCGTAGCTATAAAACGATGCTTAAGAAGGGCAAGTCTAGAGGAATCGGTAGCGATAGTTGAAATACCACCGACTACTCTACGTCGCCAATTAGTTCGCAACCGCCTGTGTGACCGTCTGTGTGAAACAACAAATTGCGTAATTTGCCCTTACGGCAGGGACGGTGATTGCATGAGATCAGGTACGATATACCTGATCTCCTGTAACAATTGCGGAGATGAATATATTGGCGAAACGGGCAGACCTTTGTGTATCCGTATAAAAGAACACCTAGATGGCAAGCGAAAACTAAGACGAAGCACCCCACTAGGCACGCATAGGATATAAAAGCATAGCGGAGACGATTTTGAAGTAAAAGTCAATATCCTTGCACAGGAGTCCAAAACACCAGCGCGAAAACTTCTTGAGACTTTTGGATAAATGTCAAGAACCCTACAATGAATAGCAGGGACGAATGCCCGGAGGTCATACGCGACCTGATCCCGTACGTTCGCATCGATTTTTGATGTGGTATGGTGCAGTCGTCAACCACATGCGACTATAATCAGCTGTTCTAAACTTCCTCATTGGAAGTCACGAAAAAAGCGGTGGGTTTTTCGAGAAGTCGTTGATCGTGTAATTTCCAAAGAGTCTTTCGTCTTTGTGTAAGTGTTATTGAAGCGTTTGGCCTAGTAGCTGTATATCAGTATACCCTTCCAGGCTCTGAAGAAGGCGATACTGCCGAAACGTCAGCTAGCGTTGTATTGTATTGTGTTTTTATGGAAGTAAATGTATGCTGTTTAAAAACCTCGCGATTGCTGAACAAGAAAACGACACATTCATAAAAAATTTAGGTACTATGGAAACTATGTCAGATGACAGAGCTGCTCAAATTTTTCGAATTGTACTTCTCGTGCTTTCAGACACCAAAAAAGGCTCGATACCAGAAATCCAAGAGACTACAGAGGCTTTGATACCAGAAATTCAAAAGATTATTGACATCCGAGTGAAAAAACCAAGCACATTTATCACCAATTGGAAAAGCTATTCTATTTAGAAATTCAGTAACAAACCAGAGTTTATAAATGCCACTACCAAGCTGCTTAATACAACAATTGTTCCGTTTTCCTTCACCAAACGATCATCCTTGATAGTTGTTATCAAGGTAGCAATGTCTGGAATATTCTCCTCACCCTGCAACACTTTTGCTGTAAAATAGAACTTATAATTATCTAACATTCGAATTTATTCGTTTTCCTTTGCGGATTAGAAAGAGGTCAAACTTCTGAAGAAAACAGCGGTACCATGTGGCGCTTAAAATATATCAGATATTAAGACTCCACTTAGACTATTGTGTAAGTTTCCTCGCTAAAGTTAATGACGTTAGAAGAAGAAAATAAACAAGTAGGATAGATAAAAACATTACATCATATTACATTACACTATTGAGAACAGTATGCGATAAGTTTACTTTATATAGAGACATATACTAAGTGCCAATAAGTAGTGATGCAAATCTACCGGGGTTAACTAAGAAGAGTAGAAGCGGGGTTGCAGCTAGTGGTTGAACTAGCAAAACTAACATCCAGACATCTATGTGAAGTTGTAATAGTGGATCTAGCGGCGCTGATCATTCAGCATAACTATGCGTGTTTATAAGCCTCAGCACTAGAGTCGATTTTCGATTCAGCATCGACTGGATCGGTAAGTACTTGGTGTATTCTAGAGGTGAAACTAACCTCTAAATGAGTTTTAACGGTTCTCGCCACTTTCTCTGGAATTTGCAAATGAGAAACCACAATGTCATAAGTCATTTTTGAGAAGAATCTAAAAATATAAAAAAGATATGATCAAAATCGGGTCAACAACGTTTATGGTCAACCGTACATGCTGTTCGGCTCGTCTTCGTCCCAGAAGTCGAGGTGGAGCACACATGCGGTGAGTTCAGTGATGGCGAAACGAGTTGTTGCTTCGAATGTTGTCGCCGCAACCGACGTCAATATGGTATTCGGTGACGTTTCTAATCGAGTGTGAGACAAATGAATCACGAAATGCCCTCGATTTTAACATTTATTTTTAAACCGCTTTCCTGCTTAGTGTTTTATAGAACACTATCGGCAGTTATATTCACAAAACCGCTTTCCCTACACCAACTGCCTCAGCGCATGAAGGATAAGAAGGATAAAGCAATCGGCGCTGATCAATTCCTCAGGGATGCACCATGCATTTGACTTCACTGAGTATCGTTGGAAGTGATCGAGTCCAAACCTGGCCTTTACAATGACTCGCGGTGGCCTACCAATGTATCGAACCAGTGCTGCTATCCTCCCAGACAAGTCTGGCACCAATTTGCCGACCCCGCAAGAATGGAGGGCTAGGTGAGCCACGCGCGTGGAGATCGGTCCTTTGTGTCTATTGCAGGGCGCCTCCAACCACTGTGCCACACGCGCCCTTCAATGTCACGTCCTTCAATGATAGCGATTTTTGAAGCTAGCCAAAGTTCGGAAGCTACTGATTGGTTCTTCGAAATAACAGAGTTGGCCAATTAAAGTTAAAAATATTTGTTCCCACAAAGTCAGCAATTTGCTGTGAAAGAAAAGCCATACAGCCCAATTCCCAGAACAACCAAGAACCATCAGTGAAACCCCAAGATAGAAAAGGGTAGCGAAAGCACAAAAGGTATCAAAGTAACATGAAACATGACAAAAATATACTTGATTCAGCAACTTCTCTTATCGTCTTTTGAACCCTTTTTTGCTTAATGTCATGGTAGGAAACGTTTTAATAATATTCTTTGTTCACGATTAAGCTGACGTTTCGGCGGATTTCGCCTTCTTCAGAGCCTGGAAAGGTCAAGTTGATAGCAACTCACTCGGCCAGACGCCTCCATAACCAAACAAAGAAAGAAACTCCAAACCAAGATTTCAATCACTTTGAACACAGCTCTGCACACTCACCGCTTTCTATGAGGTTTCCACTAAGTATGTCACGTAGAGACCAACCGCACAAAAATCACGTGGAAGTATAATGTGCCCCTCACATCAGAAAAGCAGTTGTATATACTGCCCTATATCACGCGTGATAATGAGGCATTCTTCCCTGCGGTTCATTTTCGGATTTCTGGAATTAATCCAGAGTGCCTCGAGAGTTTTTCGCGAATGTGCTCTTGATTCGCGTGCGAGGATCGTGACACATACTTCGAAGTCGTCCCCGTTATGTCTCTGGGTCCTATGCGTGCCTAGCGGGGTATTTGGTCTATTTTTGCCGGCTAGGTGTTCTTTCATGCGGACACAAAGGGGTCTACCCGTTTCGCCAATGTATTCGTCACCACACGTCTTACAGGAGATCAGATAAACTATACCCGAGCTCATGCAATCACCGTCTCTACCACTGGGGCAAATTATGCAATTTTGAGTTGCACATAGACGGTCATATAGGCGGTTACGAACTAGCTGGCGCTTAAGATTACTCGGTGGTATTTCAACTACGCTCACCGAATTCTCTAAGCCCGCCCTTCTTAAGCAGCGTTTTATAGCTGTNAATGATATAAGTACAGCTATAAAACGCTGCTTAAGAAGGGCGGGCTTAGAGAATTCGGTGAGCGTAGTTGAAATACCACCGAGTAATCTTAAGCGCCAGCTAGTTCGTAACCGCCTATATGACCGTCTATGTGCAACTCAAAATTGCATAATTTGCCCCAGTGGTAGAGACGGTGATTGCATGAGCTCGGGTATAGTTTATCTGATCTCCTGTAAGACGTGTGGTGACGAATACATTGGCGAAACGGGTAGACCCCTTTGTGTCCGCATGAAAGAACACCTAGCCGGCAAAAATAGACCAAATACCCCGCTAGGCACGCATAGGACCCAGAGACATAACGGGGACGACTTCGAAGTATGTGTCACGATCCTCGCACGCGAATCAAGAGCACATTCGCGAAAAACTCTCGAGGCACTCTGGATTAATTCCAGAAATCCGAAAATGAACCGCAGGGAAGAATGCCTCATTATCACGCGTGATATAGGGCAGTATATAAAACTGCTTTTCTGATGTGAGGGGCACATTATACTTCCACGTGATTTCTGTGCGGTTGGTCTCTACGTGACATACTTAGTGGAAGCCTGGAAACCTCATAGAAAGCGGTGAGTGTGCAAAGCTGTGTTCAAAGTGATTGAAATCTTGGTTTGGAGTTTCTTTGTTTGGTTATGGAGGCGTCTGGCCGAGTGAGTTGCTATCAACTTGACCTTTCCAGGCTCTGAAGAAGGCGAAATCCGCCGAAACGTCAGCTTAATCGTGAACAAAGAATAGTAACACCTCGCGTTTGCTCAACAAAAATACGAAGAAAATCACTTGATCAATGCCGAGGTTAATAGAAAGTCGGTCGTGGCAGTTTTAATAAAAGTTTGTAGGTGATCTCATTCCGAAGAAAAAAGGATAGAGTTCATGATTGCCGACCAAACGAGTGTTATCGCTTCCCAGGCACCCACTCTCTCCAAAACCCGCTAAAGCACTGAATGCAGATGTGAGACCATTACTTTCAAAGGCAGGGACCAATCAGTGGGTCATGCATGATTGGGCACGACTCCCACATCAACATTTCACTACGATACACACGTCCCAGTTTACTTTCATATTGAAAATTAGTCCCGAAACTGCTCCTGGTTACCCCTTCGCCTTTTTTTCTGGCACAGAGTGGACAAACATGGAGCGCTACTGTCTCCGAGTTGAAAACATTTAGTGAGTGCATCGGCCTGATCTCACAGATCGGTGTGTGCCTACCTGGTGGTTCATACAAACAAGCATATGATCAAAATTTTCGCTGAAATCATCTTTGAAATCGATTAGTGTCATTAATTCTTCGATATGATGTGTTGGCAAAAACTGCGAATTTTCATTCTATTACTAACCTATATAAGTATTTTAGAAAAATCTCTTTCGATTCTTCTTAGGCAATTGCTTTCATAACACTAATAGTGATTTGAGGCGCCACTGCGACACACACGTGAAATCGATCCCCGCGCCCATGGCTCACCAAGCCTTCCATCCCTCCGGGGTCGGCAAATTTGTACCAGACTTGTCTGGGAAGATAGCAGCACTGGCTCGATACATCGATAGGCCACGGCGAGTTATTGTAAGAGCCAAAACTGCATTCAATCACCTCCAACGATACTTAGTGAAGTCGAATGCAATGCGCATCCCTCAGGGACTGATCAACTCCGAGTGCTTTATCCTTTTATCCTTTAACGCTAATTCTTCAAGCACTGGAACAACTGAACATACGTCTACATTAAAGAACCTGATTATTGGTTAATTTATTGCTCATTACACAGATTTAAAACTTCATCATGCTTTACCACAAATACGATCCGTGCGGACTCTTAGAAGAAATATTGATATGAGAAAATGAAGGTACTCACCACTCGTTAAGTCACTAGCAGATGATGGTCTTGCGGGAAAACCTTCTTGTATCAGCGATGGAGTAGTGCTCTCAGGAGTATCCATCGAGACCGTTCTCTGTAACTTCTTCTTCTTCCATAAGAAGCAACACATTGGAGAGTATTCAAGGAACACGATGAACAACCAGGCAACAAGTTGTGTATCTCAAATATTTCATGCAGTCTTTAAGGATAAACAACTGCAATGCCGAACAAAGATAAGGAACTCATTAATAGTGAGCTAACGGTTAAGATCATGGTCGGAGCACGTAATAGCTGTGTAATATGAATGAGCAGCCGGGTCAAATACCCAACTGATGGATACGGTTCTAGTCTGTGAATAACAATTCCAGTTATCACTGTGGGAGGTGTTATCCATAATTATCTACTGATTACGAGAGTTATAAATCATTCAATAGGATCAACAGGAACAATACGCTTGAGATAAATCCACAATCTCGGGTTCCATCATGCCGTCGGTTTTTAATAGATTTCTAGGGATTAAGAGCTTCGCAAATTTTGAGAATGACTACAACAGGTAATCAAAGGCTAACAGGGCTGCACGCCACTGTAATACTTAACTTAACAGGATTTTAATGCTTAACGGAAAATACAACTAAGGCATGACGAATTACTGAATGACCAACGAGCTCTCCGAAGCAGTTTTACCAAATACTAGGCATTTAGGTAATGTTTAGGTAATATTAGGTATTCAGTTCCCAGAATCGACTTTCTCTTAACCTCGGCATTGGAATATGAATGTGTCGTTTTCTTGTTCAACAATCGCGAGGTTTTTAAACAGCATACATTTACTTCCATAAAAACACAATACAATACAACGCTAGCTGACGTTTCGGCAGTATCGCCTTCTTCAGAGCCGCTTTTTCGTGGCAATGAGGAAGTTTAGAACAGCTGATTATAGTCGCATGTGGTTGACGACTGCACCATCCCACATCAAAAATCGATGCGAACATACGGTATCAGGCCGCGTATGACCTCTGGGCATTCATCTCTGCTATTTATTGTAGGGTTTTTGGCATTTATCCGAAAAGCCTCAAGAGGTTTTTGCGCTGGTGTTTTGGACTCCTGTGCAAGGATATTGACTTTTACTTCAAAATCGTCTCCGCTATGTTTTTGTATCCCATGCGTGCCTAGTGGGGTGCTTCGTCTTAGTTTTCGTTTGCCATCTAGGTGTTCTTTTATACGGATGTGGGATGGTGCAGTCGTCAACCACATGCGACTATAATCAGCTGTTCTAAACTTCCTCACTGGAAGTCACGAAAAAAGCGGCTCTGAAGAAGGCGATACTGCTGAAACGTCAGCTAGCGTTGTATTGTACTGTTTTTTTATGGAAGTAAATGTATGCTGTTTAAAAACCGAAATTTACGGAATAAATTTTGGGTGCGGATTAGAAAGTAGTAGAAGGACAACTGTCTTCAAGTGGCAAAAATAAAACATCAATAAAATGATGGTGATCGAAGCGAAACGACGAGCACAAAAATTCCACTGGAATAGATATCCGAGAAGTAAACCAATTAGGCTACGATTTGATGCAAAGGCAAAAATTCGCGTCGAAATAAGTGTCGAGAAAAAGCAATAAGTCGATCACAAAAGTTTTCCCTGAGCTGACTTGGTTCACTCGTCAACGGAAGTGATGATCAAGAAGGTAGAAGGATCGGAGCAACCCTTCCGTCAGAAACCCAAAAGTTTTATTTCATTCACTTACAATTTTTGTTAAGTATCCTTTGAAATATGCATTACAAGATAACTTCAAGATAACGGTAGCTTTCCACTTACCATTTCGTCAAACGATGAATTGGTATGAAGAAAGTTTTATTTAACAACAGGAATAAAATGTATAGCCCGTCCACACCGAAAATACTGCGAGCTCCAACTTCCACTAGAATGAAAATTTCTGGTGTAATAAGATTTTTTCTTGTAGCACAGAACTAGTTGATTCACGTTTCCTACACACTGTATCACTCGCACCTACCTTTGTCGCAGCCAAGAAGACCACAGTTGTTCCTATTCCATCTAAGAACTCTAAGAACAAGTTTTCTTCGGAGATCACCATGGGGTCGATAAAGTTTCTACACTGCATTTGAAACGCAGTGGAATCCAATCGCTAGTTTTCTTTCACCAAATCCTAATTCTCCATCTATCGTTGAGACCGGAATTAACATCATGTGTCCTGCACATATGTGTCCTACATCTAGGAGTACACGGCAGCGTCTCTGATCTTTGATCAACTAGATATGTCGAAAGTTCGGAATCCTTTAACCACTTTTTAATATGGAATACTCCTAGTATCGCCCTCTCAAAGATGGGTTTGGCAACGCTGGATAATCCTTCACCCTGCCTACACAGAAGCTCAACGGAGGAAGAATCATATTAAGAATGACGGACATGAGCCTGCTGCTCCTTGCTCTTCTCAGTAAATAGCCAACGTTCTTTTAAGCTCTTCTCAACAGTTCACCTCTTCAGTAATCACGTCCTCATCCCTCTCTTATGTTAAAAACGATAGATATGTCGTTCCAGTGGTTCTTCCTACCAAAATTCAACATGTTATTTTGTCGGTGAAGAAACTGCCAATTTATATCAATGCAATGGCTGCGCCCTTCAGAAGTTACCTGTAAGAATGCAGGATTCTTATTCAACGGAAGACCGGCAATAGCGTGTCGCTGTACGTCTACGATACAGGCAACTCTCATCCAGTCTGGTTGTTGTCTGTCGTCTATAAACTCTTCATCGAGTCTAAACAGAACTGACAGAACACTGGAAGAAGGCAAGGTTCGAAAAAGGCTCCACATGCACACAATAGCGAGACCCATTGCAGCATTGCGAGAGTACTAGGTGACTGCTCTGTGTCACATTCATGAACATAAAGAAAGGCTTTCGACCATGTATAGACAGAAGCGGCCATGGAAGCTTTGGATAGCCACCGCATACCTAATGATATTCTACGTGAGCATTATGAGAACTGGAGACGTGAATAACGCTGTGATTAGTAACGCTGCCGATCAGGAAGCACATGCACTAGTTCTATCCGACATTCACAAGGAAGAGGAGATCTTCAAGAAGCATCTGAAACAATAGGCGAAATGTTCCACGGCCAATGTGGACAATGAGTGCGAGGAGAACGAATCGAATACGAGACGTGCTGGGATCCGCACAGTAGATATGGTGACGGGTCATGTAAAATGAAAAAAATGAGAATTTCACGACCAGGATATTGCTACTCTACAGAGATATTAACATTGATGCAAACAAAGACGTTCATAGAAATACAAGATCCTGTGGCTACCATTCCGACTCCACAATTCACATTGCTCTAAACGACTCGTCGAAAATCTGGCTGCTAGGTGAGCAACATGAGAGATCACTACTTGTTATCGAGCGTTCAGTCTAACGGGTGATGATGAGGTTTTCTGTACCACGTAAGTGAGAAATGGATTCCGAAGTTCCGACCTATGTCAACAATCCGAACTTAGAGACACTCTTAACCTTTTTCATTTACTGCCTATTCTCTTTTAACGGCAGAGTATTTTACGAAATATAACTATTATAATGCTGAGATATTTGCAAAACTCCGGACCGCAGGTGGCTGCGGTGGGGAACGAACGCGCTGTTGTCCTTTCCGGGGAGTAACGCGTTCACCACCATACCATGCGGGTTCTTCGTTTCGCCTGTCTCACAGCTAGTACAACGCCGATTTGGGCTTCTCAGATCAATCCCGTTGACGGGTGATTGCTGATGGCAAGTGATCGATAGAACTAGCTGAGAGACAGGCGAAACGAAGGACCCGCATGGTGTGGTGGTGAGCGCGTTACACCCCGGAAAGGACAGTAGCGCGTTCGTTCCCCACCGCAGACGCCTGCGGTCCGGAGTTTTGCAAATATCTCAGCATTATAGTCCTTAGAGACACTGTTCTGCACACCAAAATGTTGAAAAAGGTGTGAATAAATCTCAAGTTAGGACCATATTGGAATCCTGTCTCATAAATTTTGCACTGTCTGCTCTTTCTCAAAATGAATCGAAAACATTATAGGCGACGGTCCAGTATCGTAAAGAATTTTGGAACAACGAGGGTATCAGTGAGGTGGGAAATCCCACTTGATGCAGTGTGGTGAATTTCATTGCGATACCCACAACTGCTCGACTCCAAGATCCAACACCGGAGGGAAGTGCTTGCAAAACTAAAAGTCAACATGAGTGGTTTCGGGCGTCATAAAAGACTCAAACAGTCACAAACACTCAAACAGTCAAATAGTCATTCATTTCCAATTCAACTTGTAAATTCAAACGTGAAGTTCCGGATACGTTCCACTGAGAACAATGTTATCGTTGAACTAGCCAGCATAACCTTGTAGATGGTATGATCTCCTTTGTAACAGTTCCTCAAGTCTAGATGAAACGCTTGGATTTCGCTACGGCTTAATGTTTGACGGCAAATGGCGGAGATTGTCAAACTCGGCATTGGTCCAAATTTCTTCAACTGTAAACGTCCGATTCGTATAGTTCGTTGTTCGAAGGAATCGAAGTTCATGGGCCTGTGTTGATAAAAACAGTAACACCTCCAAGTCACCTGCTATCTTATACCTTGATTCTAGACTAACAGCGTCACGGGCAGTCTTCTTAAGTCGTATAATCAACTCCACAATGAGTTATAAGTGAGAGTGGTTTGTGTGTGGAGATCGATACCATGGCCGTTGCCGGCTTAGACGGCTAAGAATGGCACTGCTAAAAATTTAATCAGCCTCTGAGCATACGTTCTAGCTAAAGCTGCCATTCCAGAAATTTTTTAAGGCATAGAGACAAAGCCTTTTATTCTAGCTATTTTTGGTAATAGCTATCCACTCGTGGGTTGTCACCTCTTAGCATGGAGTGTGGGTATACTACACGGAAGCTTGTCGTACTTTGGCGAAGAATACGAAAACTACAATTGTTATAAAGCACATGAAATCACTTCCCAACCGATTACAGTGAGTATGAACCCCGGATCTCCCTCACATGAAGGATCTCGAGCCGGTTATTCGCGAGGCTATGTAGCGCGTCCCCTGGTGGCGGAGAGAGGGCTAATCGCAGACCAAAAGCAACCTTTGCTTCCTTGAGACAGAAGGTGGATCCAGGGAATGGACTTCCTTTTCCGGCCGCGCCGATTTGGCACATACTTTCTGTATTTGCTAGGCGTATTCATGCATGCGTGTCTGGCTGCGTTCTAGCCTATGCAGATTGTATTCTACGAGCCAATTCGGCAAAAAGTCTGCAATCAACTGACAGGGTAGTGCATGGGAGGCGGTTAGGAGTCACCTCCAACAAATAAGCTTCATGTCCACTCTAGGTGAGCCTGGCAAGCTGCCCTTGATTATACACAGCCCCTACGTTCAGATCCCAGCAAGCTATACGTGGGTATCAAAATGCTAAACACACAAAAAAACGGGACTCGTTCCCCTGACCCCGAAAGAGCCTCCAATTCCGCAGCGTTGTGTAGGGCGAGTACGGAGAGGGTGCTAAAATCTCAAGGCCAATGGAAACCGCCTGGATTTCAAAAAACTATGGTGACGATCTGTACCTACAATGCACGTACACTTTCATCCGAGTCCTCGACAGAAGACCTGTTCATGCAAGCAAGAAGGATAAAGTACGACGTCATCGGCATGGCCGAGATGAGAAGAAGCCAGCCTTTCAACGCCGTCTATGACACCGGAGAAGAACTGCTCCTCGGAACATGCGACAGTAGAGGAGTCGGCGGCGTCGACATTCTCGTCAACGCGAGTTTGTACATGAACATCGATTCATTCGAACAACTTACAATCCGGATCGGACGTTTACGAGATCTTTGTCGCTTACGCGCCGACATCAAACTATGACAAAGAAGAAGTCGAAGCATTCTATATGGACTTGGAGAAGTTCTATAGAAAAAACCATAAATTCTTCAAGGCCATCATTGGAGATTTTAACGGCAAGATTGGACCAAGAAGAACGTCTGAAAAACGTCACATTGGGACCCATGGATTAGAATGGAACGAGCAGAGCAAGCTTGCAAAACAATGCAACAGGCGATAAAAGAAGGTCATAAAGAGAGAAGGGCAGCAGTAATGGTCGAAGCTGCAGAGGCTCGGAAAAGCATTCGCAAAGCCCACCGAAGCTTCGCCAATTACAGGACCAAGATGATTGCACTCCGACGCGCAGATGGAACAGTTACAACGTCTAGAAAGACGATGGAGAAAATCATTCACGAATACTACTCAAATCTCTTAGATAGCCACGTCAACCTTCCGTCATATGAAGTAAAGGAGGATGGATATGTTGTACCACCGGTTCTCCCTTCCGAAATCCGACATGCTATTATGTCGGTGAATAATCGAACAGCACCAGGTCCGGACAGGATAAGACCAGAACACCTGAGGAGCATTCCGCCAGTTCTCGCAAACACACTGGTTCGGCTCTTCACACGTTACCTGTCTGAATACAAGGCCCCTACTCAGTGAAAGACCAGAATGACCGTGTTATTGTTCAAGAAGGGTGACCTACACGATATCGGCAACTATCGCCCAATCTGCTTACTGTCTGTCGTCTACAAACTTTTTACTCGAGTGATCCTAAACAGGATTTGACAGAACACTGGACTAAGGATAGCCATGTGAGCAAGCAGGGTTTCGAAAAGGATTTAGTACTATGAACCACTTCCACACGATAATAATGCTCATTGAAATATCGAGAGAGTACCACAGAGCCTTCTGTCTCACTTTCATCGATTTACAGAAGGCCTTTGATTCAATTGAGATAAAAGCAGTCTTGGAAGCCCTTGATAGTCAAGGAGTCCCTACTCAGTACATAGGGATTCTTCGTGAGCTGTACAAAAAGTTTCACAACCCATATATCACCGTTCTACAACGATATTAACATTGACGTCAAAAGATGAGTTAGGCAAGGCGATATCATCTTGCCAAAATTATTCACTGTCGCCCTTCAGAACGTCATGGGAACATTGAAGTGGGATAATATGGAAGTGAAAATCGATGGTCAGCAGCTACATCATCTTGGATTTGCTGATAACATCGTCCTTATAACACCAAAGATTAGCCAAGTGGAACATATGCTTGCCAACTTTGACAAGGCCTGTGGAAAGATTGCTCTTCGAATAAATCTCACAAAAACGATGTTCACGAAGAACGGTTTGGTTTCGTATGCCCCATTGACGCTCAACGGAACGTGTATCTCCGAATGCTCCAGTTATGTCTATCTAGGTCAGGAGATCAATTTGATGAAAGACTTAGCTCCAAAGCTGAGCAGAAGGAAACGAGCAGCTGAAGAGCTTTCAAGAGCATCGAGGGTGTAGTGAAGAGGACAAAGAACACCCGACCTCGTACCCACCTTTTCTACTCAGCGGTACTTCCTGCCCTAACGTATGCGTCAGAAACCTGTTCGATGCGTGAGCAGAATGAAAGATCACTCAGCGGTATCGAACACGCAGTCGAAAAGGCGATGCCATGGGTATCCCGTGTCACACAAGCAAGGGAAGGGATCTGATGCTCCGACCTGCATCAACGATCAAAAATCAGAGATGCCGTTCTCTACGCCAAACAGTCGAAGATGAGGTGGGCCAGACAGGTAGTCCATATGAATGACAACCGATGGACAACAGCCGTTAGTGACTGGATTCCTGGGGATGTCAAACCTGCTGCAGGATGGCCACCGACCCGGTGGTCAGAGTTCTTCGCAAAGATCCTCGAATTAAGATGTGGTGCTAGACGAGTCCCTAGAGCGAGCAGAAACCACTGGGCTACTCTTGCACACGTCAGGGAAAAATGGAAGATTTACTGGCGCCCGCTCGAGTCACTCGACTATCAACGGGACTACAGGTGATACAGGTGATGAATTCAGGAGCACAGAAGTACATGCAGAAGTATGGAATTCTGCGAAGGATAGAGTGTGAGTCTTACCTCTGAATCCACTTCCATCAAAGGCTAAGTAGATTATATGCGTTGCACTTAATTTTTGCCCTGCGTTTTTCCAATCCACCTTCTAGACTGGTGGCTAGCCAGCTTCGAAAATTTCGGAGAACGGAATCATTGCTCCCATTTTAACTCCTCCTGCTACCTTGTGTTGCAGAGAGTCGACAGAGGTTGGCTTCCTCGGGAAATTTTAGCTTATAACTCCATATCTTTGCATTTGTGATAAATGACTGGGATTCGGCTTTAAAATAAATCTCCACGACAATAAGTGACATAATGGAGCAGAAAAATTGGCTTATATGTCGAATCTGAAAATAAAACATGATTGAAAGGCAGAAAAATTACTAAATTACTCTACACATTGACGTTAATGAAACGGCTTTGTAACGAAGGAAACGGATACGAATCCAATGACTAACCACATTAATGGTTAAGTGTCAAGACAACGCATTTTCAAGCACGCTCAGAACTGAAGCGAACATGAGAAAATCTTAGGTTGCTAGGCAAACTAGTGCAAATGAGAATCCAGAGTGGAACTAGTTCTCTTGCAGAAGAGCCCGCTTTCCTTGATCCCATGATTCGCTTAGACCATAAGCACCTAATGAAAAAAAATCAAATCGATAACACGTCATAGCCGTAGGTCAAACAAGGAGAAGCCGTGCGTCATCATACAAATCGAGATTTTTCGTACACAGAATGACCCACATGTGGTTTTCGATGGTCGGTGAGTTTACGAATGTTCAAAGCATGACTTATAAATAAATGAATTATTTTGCAGCACGACAAAACAGAGTTTGTCTCAAAGAGAAGAAAAATCATAACGAAGCGTTAAACGCGACAAATTTTAGTAGAAAGCAAACCACACGAAAATTAGTGCGTGTGTGAGAAACGTAGTGAAAGGTTTTGACGGTTCGAATAACAGGCAAACAAGGAGAGCAAGTAGGAAACGGCAGAAGTGCACAATGAAAAGGGAAAGATGGTGACGACAACGATGGAGGCAAACATGAGGCCGTCCACGAGGACGTCGATGGAGGAGTTGATCCTGGTATTGAAAAAAACTGACCATTTTCAATTTTCAAAGATTCTACCAACAACTTCTAAAAACATGGCATTGACCTGTCCTTCAAAGAAATTATTGTATGAGAACGGCTACAGAAACCCTATGAATTCTGTAATTTATTGCAAAGATGTCCCAATTAATTCTTAACCATAGAAAGAAAAAAGGGAAGAATTTGGGAAAGAACTATTGCCATTTGTTTGATACCCAGGAACAAACTTTAAAACGGGCGTTTTTTTTTCATTGGGAGAAGGCCAGTAGCGTGCGAGGAAACGCTATTAAATAGTTATACATTTGAAAACAGCTCTAACCGGATAGAATGAGCAAGAAGGAGTAATAAAAGACAACCAAAAATCTTTCTCATTCAGCTGTAGGTAAAAAATAATTTCCACATAACTGAAAGCGAAAGAGCTATGAAAAACTCCAGGTCTGCTGTCTTCTAAGTGAGACCGCTTCATTTTCAGAAGAAATGTTTCAGAGAGGAGCAACCATGCCTTCTCATTCACCATCCTAAATAGCTTATTCTGGACGTTACTCCAATATGCAAAAAGGTCTAACTTGTTACTTTAAAATAAGAAAAGCAAAAAGAGAAATGGCGGGAACTGCGTCTAATACACCACGAGGGCTTATGAGCAAGAATTACTCACGAATTCTCATGAAAAGCGTAACAGTGAGATACAGATTTTGTGATAATTTAGAACAGACACTGAAAGGTGTGAACTTGGTGGGCTTGCACACAAAATGGAGATATTGCTACTACTGCCGAAATAGAATCCCACAAGTAATCGAATACTTGAGAAGCAGCAACAAAATAGCCTTTGGTCCTTGCCGCCTTCCGTAGTCGCCCGGTCCGCTTCGATGGGAGTTATCCGAACAGTATCGTATTAGTGATTTCGTCAGAATATGGAAAGAGATATTTCCTCAAGCGCAAGCACAAATTCATTCCTAGCTAGTGTTCTAGTTAGAAACGCCCCATTCATCCTCAACTTGAGTAACGCTATTTGGGTGAAAAAACAATTTGATGCACATCGCACTTGAACACCCAGAGATACGACAAGCTGATGAACCATCAGAAAGACTAGTGAAGCTAATTAACATTGTTAACAGCCACCAGCCCTATTAATATTAACAAATAATGCCCGACGTCCATTTTTTCGGCTTCTGAGTGGGACAAAGCATAGAGAGATAAAGGATAAGAGACCTGGTGTTGTCCAATTTCTTAAAGATGCGCCATGCATTTGGCTTCTTACCCATCGTAGAGGTTATTAAATGGATAGCTGACTTAAATGATGACTTGAGTCGGTCTATCGGTGTATTTAGCGTTTATGCTACTGAAATAGCTAGGTAGCAATTTGTGGACTGAAGAAGGATAGGGTGCTGGTTAGCTTGGAGAGTTGGATTAAGCCAATGAACACGTGTTTATTGCAGCCAGCTCTAACACCTGCGTTAGACGAGCCGCGTGAGACGATGATGATTTTTAACGAAAACTGATGTCTGACGAAGTTTTTCTAGTGGAATTTAACACTACTTGTTTTTCAAACTCACATCGACCATGAGTACAATAGGTTTTGAATCTAATTCGTTCAACCGAAATCGAAGGGATGAGTAACTCGGGCTCCGAAGAAAGGTGTCTGCTCAGCGTTAGCAACACCATTTACTAGCTAAATGGAAAATCTAATGCCTTCCATACTTTTTTGGCTCAGTCGAGTTTTAAAGCACGTGTCATGCGTAATTAGATGAGGGAGAAAATAGTCAGTGAACGGATTCTCGTGATAGAATGATATGAAACATAAAGAAATAGCAAAACAACTGTAAGAAATTCCGTTAGAATTTCAGTGACGTCTTAGTTTTAAAT